ACTTTTGTCCGCCGCATACAAACTTTCACCTTTATTATATACATAGATATAGATATAGATATAGATATAGATTTGGATAGCATATATTATAACAACAACAACAACAACACACTTTATTTATATACTGCTCTATCTCCCCGAGGGGCCTCAGAGCGGTTCCCTGGTAACATCACAAAACATACAAAGTAAAACAACATAACCATAAGATTAACAAAACAATATAAGCATAAAAATTGTCGCCATAACACACATATATTAAAAGTAATCCTGACTATTCAAGGCAAATTAAAAATTTGAAAGGCCAGGCCAAGATTTGTGAAAGCCCAAAAATTCTAGAGCTTGAATCTGCTTGAACCTTAAATGGAACAACACTTTGGCTATTTTCTAAACCGAAACGCAGTACAGGTTGAACACCGCTTATCTGAAATGCTTGAGATCAGATTTATTTGGATTTTGGAATAGACATAGTGAAATATCTTGGAAATGCGACACAAGTTTAAACATAACATTCATTTCTGTTTCATATATATCTTATACTCCTTTTATACACAATATTTTTAAATGATGAATGAAACAAAGTCTACATGTAACCATAAAAAAGCAAAGGTGTCAGCCACCCATGTGGACAACTTGAGATTTTGAAGAATTTTGGAATTCTGGATATGGGATACTGAATAAATCCCATTTTAATTCTTGATTTGTTAATGTTGGGTGCATGGCTCCCTCTAGTGGAAGCTCTGAGCCAAACCTCTCGGATGCTTCATAGAACATGCTAAATTTAATTCAGTCCAAGTTGAGCATCCCTTATCTGAAATGCTTGGCAGCAGAAGTGGTTTGGATTTCAGTTTTCTGGAGCAAAGGTGTCACTATCTTACTATTTCTTCCATTCATGTTGACAATTTTGGAGGATTTTGGTATAGAGGATGCTCAACCTGTACTGTAAATTCTTATTATCACAAGATACTTGTATCAGCAGAGATTTGTGGGCTCCTGGAAATAGTTGGCAGGCTCCCAGAGGCTAAGATTCCAGCCTTGGACAGACCCAGCAGGATGGCCTCTGAGGTTTACTGACTGGAGGTTATTTTAGTCAGGCAGAAAGGCTAGTATTAAAATCAAGACAGCTGGTTCTGCTTCCCAGAGGGCTTAACTTTTTGTTCAGTTAAGAAGCCATTCCTTTTTCTGGCATTTAAAGTGAATTGCTATGAGATAACCTGCCAGTAGACTTACCTGTTACAGTATAAGCTATTACCACTTCCACTTCATGCTACAGTCCCCACCCCTTTGAACTTTGCAACTGGAAAATCTGATGGGATTGTGTTGAGTTTCATTAATAGTTTGGAACAAATGATTGCTGAAATACAGAGGGTGAGTTATAACTAACTTCAACTGTATACACATCATAGGACTGGACTAGTGGAACTAACCGTTTTGTCCTTTTCCTGGATAGACTCTCCATCCCCTTGGAAATATCATAGTTGGGATATTTCCTGCTGAATGGAGTGAGTTGTGAAGACCTTCTGTGATCCTCAGTCAATCTCAATGCATTGTTCTTAACAATATAACTGCAAAACCATTTAACAAGATCTGTTTTTACACTTCTATGACAATAACAATGCTGGATTAGATAAAAGACTGATATTATCTAGACCAGGCACAGGCAAACTTTGGCCCTCCAGGTATTGTGGACTTCAACTCCCACAATTCCTAACAGTCGTTATGCTGGCTGGGATTTCTGGGAGTTGAAGCCCAAAATACCTGGAGGGCCAAAATTTATCCATATCTACAGATAATAGCACACCCTATTGAAATGAAGGACTTCTGGCTCAAGAATACCAGAGTTGGGCTGAAGAACCTACAAAATGCTTAGAGAGGATGTAATATGACAGAGATGGATACATGACTGGTTCCATGGATACAGGGATTACACTATATAACTAATACCCCTTTATGGCCCTATCATCTATGAATTCATCTAAATCTCCCTTATAGCTATTTTGGCAGCCATTACTACATTTTATAGCAGTTTAACTATGTGTTATATAAGAATTGCCAGGTTTCTACATCAGCTAGTTAAGTAATGATATAACCTCTCCTGGACCAAGCCCCACAGAGTCAGCTCCCACCGAGTCAACATTAGCCTCCAACAGCCACAGCAGGGGAAGACTATCTATTCAGCTGCTAATTGGGATGCAAGGAGGAGGATGTTTCCTCTGTCCTCTCAACATAAGGAATTGCAACTGAAGTCCTGCTTCTGATTATTACAGCCTTGGGCAAAGGTGGAAGGAAGCTGGAAACCTCCTCCTTGTGCCTTGATCAGCACCTAAACATACTCCCTTTACCTGGTGTGGCTACTGGTTAAGTTAAGGCTGGGAATGTATTTATGTAATCCTAAGACTATGTAAAATTCTGTAATCCATCACTAGACTACAAATCATTCTTTGCAATACCAAATGATAGCAATTTTTACTTGTTTTGAACATCTCACCATTCTACTACCCCAAGTTCTTATTCTGATGTTTTGACACTGAAGTCAATGGAACCGAGCCAGCATATGTGTTGAAGAAAACTATCTTCCAAAAATTCTTAGTTCTTGAACCTCATCACACTACTCTAGAGCATCGCTCCACTTTAAATCCAGTTGCTATCTCCTGCAGAATTCTGGCGTTTGTAGTTTAGGGAGGGGCCTTTAATCTGCTCAGCCAGAGAGGTCCTGGGCTCATAAAACTACAAGCCCAAGAATTTTGCAGGACACAGCCACAGGATTTAAAGTGAACAGGTGCCCTAGTATGATAACGTCCCTTACCAGCAATATAATAAAAGGCCCAGTATACATTTCTACCGCCAAAAGAGAAGCCAGAGATCTCAGAATTTGGCTCCACACAGCA